TCTTTGAGAGACACCTCCACGAGAATGGAGTAAACTCGATACCATAGCTCTTTCTTCTTGTTGTTCAGTTTAGCCAAGTGTTACTGACTACTAGGTGCACTTTAGGTTGACTAATGTATCATCTGTTTCTGCCGGATAAGTCTGAAATAAGTGTTCTGTACCGTCTCCCCCCCCGCCCTGTGGTTGAATTAAAGTGTTACGGTAGACTAAACCAACCTGTCATTAACCATTTTCTGTTATGTGACCCGAAGCTTATTGGTGCAATGTCTTTCGTTACGAGCACTTTCGGAGTACTCCGTTTCTTCTTCCACAAAGACGGGTTCCCGTGTTCTGCCGGCTTCCTCCAGTATAGTTTAATGTGGGCAAGGGTTAAGCCGTTGCTGAAAAAAAACATAAGCTTCATAACTTCAAAGTACATTAAAATTTTCGTATTGGGCAAGCAACTCCGCGTTAATGTAAAGCAAACAGGCATGAATCACAAGGAGTTAATATCGTTTCGAGAAAACTTTGCTCCTCTGGTCGAATCCAAGTGTTTGTGTGTTGAGCGTAGTTCCTAACATACAAATACTTGTGTTGTGATTGCAAAAAGTTCAGTAGCCTCGGTGGGATACTTGTTTAGAGATTTATGTTGATGGTTGATTCGGCTTGAATGTTTATGGAGAGAGGGAAATATTTGTTCGCTATTGTGTCACATGTTCTGATAAACCCGAATTCGGTTTTGTCGTACTAGTCTACTTGTTATTAATCTTTATCTCCACAGCTGATGGAACGAGGAATTAACGAGATCACGGATCAAGAACTGCGACAGTCATTGATTCGCTCTCTGGTGAAGATTCATGGGAACGGAATTGTGGATAAACTTTGCGAAGAGTTGGCTCGGTATCACGGACTCCCATGGCCACCGGGTTCGCCAGAAAAATCCCCTCGAGATGAGGTCGTAAAACCCACAGAAGTCGGTTCAACATCTAACGAGCAAGTTACTGTCGAGCAGCGACACAAGTTTATCGATCAGTTAAAGCGTCTAGGCACTCCCGAAGCCAAAAAATGTGCAGCAAGTCTACACGGGCTGCTAGAAAAGATACGAGCTTTCTTGTCCGGATTCTGTTCAATTACCGATTTCTATTCCGTTCTAGACAACTTTGCCACGGAAGAGGTTGGTATTAAACTGTCTACATTACATGCCCATTCGGACAACAAGCGAAAGCGCGAGGAACGAAACAAAGCGAATGAATTGGCGTTACAAGTCGAGCTACAATTGTCGAATGCGTGTGAAGAGTTCAAATCCGCTCCGGCTTTACAGCAGGCGGCAACAGCGGCGTTGGCCGCTGTTTGCCTATTCGCACAGGTCGCCACAGGTTGGCCAGTTACCGCGCCTGGACGTTATGTCCCAGAATTGGTTACATGGCTTTCGGATTTCGTCAAATCCACTCAGAAAGCTCCCGCATTACCACCTGCTTTAAATTCATTTGTTTCTTCGTCTGCCATGAACAATCTACATGTTTTGACCAGTTACATTGCTCAACACATGCACACATCCGATGAGGCTGATTTGGCCGAAAGCTTGACCGAGCCCATTTCGGAATTGGTAACCGTAGCTAAAGAGTGTAGAAAGCAGTTATATGCTTGAAACACTGACCTGTGATCAAACACTCTCCCCCGTGTCTAATTGCTTCGTATTTATTCATTTACATTTATTTCATGGCTGTTTTTCCTATTGTGTTGAAATGTTCTATCAGAAAAAGTGTTCTTACTACCGGTGCTGGAAAAGGTTCATTTCTTATCCTACTGGGGTCATGTTCACTTTATCCTCCAGTAGTTTGATCTAACCATTTTCAAATAGGTGCGTTATATCTTTTTTGTGCAATTTGGGTTACCAAAGCAATCCTGGAATATTTCTGTGTGAAAGCNATTTACGTCTGAAATGAAAGGGAGCGTGTGGACCATGTGATGGTTCGGAATGTAGTTTCAATGCACGCTTTCCTGGTTACTGTATGGTCTTTTTCTGGATGTGCGTCCCTCTTTTGCATAGTTCATGGTGACTCTGAGTCAACAAGACAAAAATGCTTTTTAATCTGGTAAGTAAGGAGAGAGCGTGGCTCTTTATATGGGATTGTATGAATACCTAGAAATTCCTGACCTGTTATGATGCCTTAAGGTTTAAAAATACATAAATTACTTGAGAGTTGCAATCGTTTAAAATGAATGCAATGTTCTTCTGGTCCGATAATTCCCTTTTCAGCTCTACCGGGGAAAATATAGCAGTTTCCAATGCGTTTTGAGTTGCAGTGACAATGTACTCCATACCATTGTAATACACGAACCCTAGGGAAAATTATCGTCAATAGACGCATTCTGTAAATGGTATCTTCATTGATACTTGGTTTATCTACCAAACTATTCTTATCGTTAGGGTATATGGCCATTGTGTTTATCCATCCCAGATCTTAGATAGCTCTGAAATTGTGTTCCAGATATATATATACATATCTTGATTACACAAACTATCGAACTCGAGTTCAGTGCATTACACTTAAAATAACACCTTAGATTGACAAATAAGAAGCCCTCATTTATTCATATGCCAGGATTCTTTTGGATGCAAGTTTATTTTAAGACTATTCTGCCCCTAAATTGTGATCACATCCGAAACAATATTTGCATATCCGAAAGCCTCAGTATGGTCGGGGGTGGGTCTAGGGTTGCGGTTGGTTACCCTTCCCTGGCACTTCGCTTCCATAAAATCAAGCGTCTCAAATCGCCTCTGCTGAGGAAGTCCTACTCATTGCCTTCTCTCTCTCGTGACGGAAGTATTTCCCCACCAAAGTGAGAGGACGAAAAGCCGACATCCGGGTTAGTGGACCACTGGTAGTTCACCTAGGGGAATTAGTCAAAAACCCTGGTTCCAAACCAACCATGAGTAGGCGTACGAACCACACACACACACACAGCTTCCTTGTTGCGGCAGTGGTCACCGGCTCGATTGGGCATTGAGGTTTATTGGGCACCTTGGACGTTTGGCCCCGTCCGAAGGGCGAATGATCCGATGAACTGGACATCGGTTTTCCCACCGCTCCACTGCCATCCGGATCAGGTTTTGGTTAGCCGATGGCTCCAGTTGTGAATTCTTCAAGAAAATTCACCTGCCTTGGCCTGGGCAACCTGGAAGTATTCAGCCCACAAGCCAATCATGGAACCTTTCTTCTTTTTTATCAAGATTATTGTACCATGATTTGCCTGTAACACAATCTTTCCTCAGACAGGTGTGAAATATAGTGTAATAATATTCGTGCTGATAGCTGGTGAAGGTACCTGGGGGCCTAGTTTGTCGATCGAGCGGAGGAATATAGGTAAGCAAACTCGGCTGAACTGAGTTGGAGGTAACGGTAGTGAAGCAACTACACATCGATGGAGCCGTGATTGTATGCTGAATCCCAACAAAGGAGTGCTAGTAAGATTATACTAAATCCGGAATGGTACATAATGCATATTAAAAGGCAAATCCTGAATGTTGGGTTGAGATGCATGATTCAGCACTCAACGTTCTAGCTTCTTCTGATCGATGGATATTAAGGTTTTGCACGAAAATCTCAATAGGACGAAAGCCAACCAGGTACAGGCTATCCAGTATTTGTCCATAGGAACACTCGCAACTCCCTAAGTAGCAAAACCATCAAATACTCTCCACCAAAGGTGGGATAGTCTACGATATAACATGGACCGGGATAAACTGAGACGAAAATCCTGGGATCGATTCCTCATTTCAAATGAAAGTACAAAATAAACGACCTTCGACACTTCGCGATTGAGTTTGGAGTTGTTTTCTGAAGGGATTTTGTGTTTACACGATGAGTCAGTATTCCCGAATTTAGTCGTACAGATTCAACCTCTTCCTGGGTTTAGCGTAGATGAGAAGAATAACCACTGGTTCTTACTAAATCAATTGATCTGGGATTACGACAACAGGATCAGCGTCATTTCTTGAGGAGCGGCAATTTGTTTAATCCCCATCAGTTGTTGAGAGTCGTCTATTTCCCCGCACGTACCGAACGTTTCACCAGTTTCAAGACTGACTAAATATGCTTCGATGGGAATGACCGTGGGTATCCACTTGTTCCCAGAGGCCTTGAGGGTAGGCTGTCACCCGGATATCCAATTTGGGACGGAAGAGTGAAATCCATTTCCATAGATAAAAGACAAGTAAACTGCGTCCCAGATTGATACATCTTTATGGCGTTGCTGCAATTGGATCAACGTATTGTTAGACTATTTGACTGTTCAACTTGCACTTATTTTCTTTGGGATTGTGGTCTTGATTAGTCGCGAAAACTTTCGACTGCTACCAATGGCTGTGCTTTCCCTTATAATGGTTATAAAATATATATCATATGAGAACTAAGTTCAAGCGAATGATCAAAACATAAGGCGATAGAAGAAGAAAACATCGAGCAGGTTGGCAAGTTGCTCTCAGACAGTGCAGTACCAGTCAAATGCAAATTCCTCCCATTTTAACAAGCAATGTTTGTTCTTTGTTGGGAAAAGTCGAGGGAATAGTAGACCACACGGAAAATGAGTACAAGATCCTAGGAATTATTGTGGCACAGGGATCGGGGCTGCACGGAGAAATCCCCAGTAAAATTCTACAACTGGGTGGATAAAACTTGTATCGGGTTGACCGTCACACGAGTGTCCGTAAACGAGGCGGTGTTGCAAGTTACGTAAGCGACAACTGGAGTAAATTCACCGCCGTCATCTACGAATACTCAACGGATAAAATCAATCTTCACGTCATCGAATATAAGCCCCGTTTTCTGAGTGGGTTTCGTTTCATCCTTCTTGGAAACTACCTGTCACTCACAATATCAGCGGCTGGCATAAATAGGTTTTTTTACCTTTTTCTACTTCCATCATATCAAAAACAAGTTACTCTTTGGGTATATTTGTTGGTAATTTCAACAGATATGACGTAACTTTTCTCACCACACTGGGTCTACAAAATTTGGTACATTTTCCTACCGGACTCAATTCACAACTTGATTTCTTTTTTACAAACAGACCGCACTTTTTCGAAGTCCAGAAATGTGCCCCTCTAAGCAGTTCTGATCATTGTATCTTTAAAGTATGTCCCCACAACAAAACTAGCCGGTATAGGTTTGTAAGAAGGCCTTCCATACTAGTGAGTCAAAGAAATTCTTCATCAGTGAACCTAGAAAGGCTAAGATCCATGATTACCGCCACAAATTATTCGGTGTTTTCCGATCAGGACCCTTCTATTCTGCGTGACCATCTTACGGATTACCTTAATTTCTGTTTTAACCAGTTTCGTCCACTGGAAACGGTTTTCATCCATAAAGACATACTCGTCACCGCTACTAAAACAACTACTCAGGTGGAAAGAACAGATGTATAAACATTGACAAAGAGCCCATATCAAGCGGCTTACAATTTCGATCAAAGCTGAACTTAATTTGTTGAACAAATTGTACATCGACACTATCCTGGGAAACTCTAGTTGTTGTGGCATGTGGAGAGCTATCAATCGTCTGTGTGGCAGTAGAAATAAACGAAATGGGGAAACTGTCGACGTTGAAAGACCAAATCCCGAGTTTAATTCAGTTTCACAGTGCACTGCTCTGCCAGACTTGGTCAGCTGTACGCCAACACTAACTATAGAACCCGCCACGATCCTTCAACTGCTAATGAAAACAAAGATGAATAAAGCATCTGATCCGGATGGGCTGTCACCCGTAGTGCTCAAGGTATGTGCGGACACTCTCAGCCCCATTGTCTAAAATATTCAATGTCTGTCTGATAAGCGGAAAAATTCCTGATATTTGGAGACTGGCCCAGATAACTCTCGTTCCAAGAAAGGTGAGATCGTCAGAATGGTGTTCTTAGACTACGAAAACGCTTTCAGCAGTCTTGATCGCTCGGTATTGCTCAACCCGATTACCGAAAGTGGTGTTAATCCAAACGTTAGCAGATTGATCCACGATTATTCCACAAATAG